GACTAGAGGGTCCACACAGCAGTTTTTCATAACAGCATTTGGGATAGATTTGGCCAGCAAGAGGTAATCAAAGAGACAGGTTGGTAAAAAGGCTTCAGAGACTTCTAACATGTATTCTCTGCATTTGAACACAGCATTCATAGAAGACTGGTAACTCCCTGTAGGACATCTTTGGGATTATCTTAGGTGTTGGACTGCTAAAAGAAACGTTGGTAGCCCAGATGTCCATCAACAAATGAATTAAATGGAGAAATTGTGGTATATCCACACAATGGAATACTATGCAGCACTAAGAAACAATGATTTCATAAGATACTATGTAACATGGGAGAGTTTAGAAAGCATTATGCAGGGCGAACCCAGTCTCATAAGGACAAATACTGCATAAGACCATCATTGTAAAAATAGAAGGATAACTGAGTAAAATGTGTATAAATATCCAGAAGGGGATGAAGGAAAGGGAGAGAGGGCAATAAAAAGCGAAGGGTGGGAATCACCAAAATAGCAGAGGATAGTGGACTGATGAGGGGAGGTGAAGGAAGAGGAAAGATTCAGTGAAGACTTAAAAAAGTCGGGGTAATAGGCATAGATCAATAGTAATTCATTATATTTAAGATAATGTATACAAATGATTGTATCCAAACCAAAATTTTTAAATACAGATTAAATTAAAAAGAAAGAAAGGTTAATAGTTCAAATACACCAGGAGCTCAGTGCAAGAACGGCAGTCTTCTCCCCAAAAGATTTACATCTTCAAAAACCCCACGGAGAGTCATTGTGAGTCAGAATTGATTCAAAGGCTAGGTTTGGAGTCTTGTGTTTGTTTGTTTTCTTAAATTTTTATTATTTTTGTGTGTATACCATCAAATTAGATCTGACTGGTACAGGAGGAGATTGTCCCTCCTTCTGCAGCAGAGCATCTGGTGGATTCGAACCACATACCTCTGGGATTGCAGTGCAGCATCTTGCCGCTAGGTCCCCAGAGCTCCCTGGGTTTGGAGTTTTGAGTCCACTAGAGGTTGCTCTGGGACCTGCATCTAGAGCCGGTAGAATGGCTCTGACCCCAGTCACCCCTGAGCTGAGAAAGAGCTGAAGGGGTCTCAGGAGTGCCCAGCACAGGGTCCTGCTGCCAGGTCCACTGCCAGGTCTACCATTGCATCATTTGCAAGAGAGAAGGAACAGGCTTCCGCTGAATCAATTTCAACTCAGAGCACCCCCTTGTGTGGGAGGGAGCAGAACTGCACTCCGTGGGGCCTCGATGGCTATAAAGGACATCATTGACTTTCTTTCCAGGTGCCTCTGGATGGCTGTAAACGAATAATCTTTCCATTAACACCTGAATTGTTTAATAATTAGCACCACCCAACGCCTGAAAGAAGGTAGAAATCTTTTTTCTTATCTCAAAGAGGAATACAGAAAGACTTGTCTGAGACAGCACATGTGTAAGGGTGAACCTATCAGAGAAGGCTAGATAATGCATAGAGAGCCCTGGAAAAGGGGAGGCTGACCCTCTCAAAGGCAGAGAGAAGTCAAGAGGAGAAAAACAAGGTGGGCCCTTTAGCCCCAGCTCTCCCAGTTTTCCTGGTAAAGCATTCAGCCCAGAAGTAACTGTCAAGGCCCACTGACCTGGTCCAAAGCTCAGCTTCCGTGTTTCCTAGTTCTGTGCCTGTTGTTCAAGTTATTTAACTTCCTTTGCCTCAGTTACGTTGTCTGCAAAATGGTCTTCATGGTCTACAACTGGAGGAAGTGCCTTCTGCACACAGGGCTGTGAGATATAAGCAGTTGCTTTAAACCACACTCTCATCTGGGAAAGTAAGGAATGAACTCAAGTTCTAGGGCAGGGAGGGCACAGCCTGCAGCCATTCCACCTCCACAGCTTCAGTCTGCCCTGCCAAGCAGCTACCACCCGCATGTTACCCGGTGAATCCAGAGCAGTCCTTCTGAGCATGAAAACACAGTCAAATGAAAACGACAGGGTCCAAAACCTGAGTCAGGGCCTTGGCTGCAGCCTGAGGGCTTTGTAAATATGGGTAAGTCATTCCACCTACAGAGGCCCACTTCTCTGCTTTGCAAGGACGCTGGGATGATTAAAATGAGGGAGGCCTGTACGTGAGCGGCTTAAGGGTCTGTTGACAGACCTAAGAAAGTAGTTCTTAGGGAGAGTGGAGTTGAAAGGGAACTTAGACAGTGTTTTTGTTGTTGCTGTTGCTGTTGTGTAGCTTTGAGTCGGAACTGATTCATAGCTAACCACTTATTCACTGAGGTCTGTAGTGTCAATATTTGTAACTGCTGTGTTCCAAGGAAAGGAAAGTGAAAGCGTCAAGAAGTTGGCAGCTTTTCTGACACTGCAGGATCACCTGGAGAGCTTGTTAAAGCACAGGCTGCAGCTGGCCTCGCCCCTGAGGCTTCTAACTTGGAAGGGTTGGGAGAGAGACCAAGAATCTGCATGCAAAACCAGTTGCCCGGTGATACTAGCGCTGCCAGTCCAGAGAGTTAAGTCAGAGGAGCACTGATAGGAAGAAAGAATTGGGGACAGCTGCAAGGAAAAGTTCAAAACAATGATCCTTTTCAGGCTTTTTTTATTTTATATTGGTTTGCTTATAAAGTTCATATACATTGTGTTTCATACAATCATTCTCATGCATTATGTTTTATAAAGTTAACCTCTTTGAACCTTGTCTCTCATTACCCCTGTCTTTTCAGGTCCCTGCCAGATCCTTCTCATTTGCTTCATGCCCTCCCCTCACCTACCAAACTGTGCAACCTGTGGTTTCGCCCCCACCCATCCTCACCCCTCTGCTCCCACACCTTCCCCCTTGGGTCTCCATACATATTTTACTAGTTATCCTATTTTTACAATAATAGTCTTATGCAATATTTGTCCTTATAAACTGAGTTAGTTTACTCAGCATAACACTCTCCAGTCCCTCCGAAGTTATGTAGTTGTGTGATTGTTTTTTAAATCATTGCTTGAGTGCTGCATAGTATTCCATCGTGTAAATGTATCACAATTCTCAATCCATTTAGTTGTGGCTGGACTGCTTCCATGTTTTTGTGATGGTGAATAACGTTGCTATGAGCACTGGTGTACAAATCTCTGTTTGCATGTCAGTTCTAATTTCGTTGAGGTATATTCTTTGTGGAATAGGTGGGTCATACGGAATGTCTATGCTCAATTTTTTGAGGAAATGCCAAACTACCTTCCAGAGTGGTTGTACCATTTTACAATCTCACCCACAGTGTGTGAGAGTTCTCGCCTCTCCACATCCTCTCCAGCTACTACTGGGTTGAGATGGTATCTCACTGTGGTTTTGCTTTGCATTTCTCTTACTGAATGGCTCTCTTGTTATCGCCTCTAGCCTTCAACAATCCCTAAACATTAAGTGTTTCCTCTGGGCCAGGCTCTATGCCAGAGCTTTCTGTCCATTTCTTTCCATTAATCTTCATAACCACTTGTAGAGAAGGCACTATCAGAATCCACCTTTTCCAGTTAAGAGATCCCTGGGTGGGGCAAGTGGTCAGCACTCCTGTCTGCTAACCCAAAGTTCACACAGGCACACCAAAAAAAGGACAAGGGATGGGTTTTTTGTGTTTTGTGGGTTGTTGTTTTTTTAAATCAGCTGTTGCAAACTTTATGGTACCTGGTTATATCCTGACACACATGGAAATCCATAGTCCAAACTGACTAATCAAGGACTAGGTTTTTTAGATAAGAAAACTGAAGCTTAGCGAGCTTATGCAACTTCTCAACAGTGTGAAACTAGTAAATGGAAGAAAGCAGGAGACCCAGGAATGTCTGTGCCCTTGACTCTGACACGGTCTTATCTTTGAGTGTCTTCACCTTCACCTTCTTATTCTCCTCTTTTTCTTCTCCTTCCCCCTCTCCTCCTCCTTCTGTGCTGTCCTCCCCTACCCAGAAAAATGAAAATCCATTTCATCCTTTCCCGCCCCCCTGCCCCCGTTGGCTGGTTCCTTTTACACCATCCATGGTGACATAGCCCACACACCCTCCAACCCTCCACAGTCTGTGGCTTCCAATTCCAAATCCCCCAGAGAAAGAAGTCTGCCCAGATGGGATCAGTTGTCCACCCCTTGACCAATCAGCTGACGCCAAGGCAGAGGCCAGGATGGGGCAGTGTCCTTGGCCCACTCAATGCTGGCCAGGTGACTGAAACACGGACCATAAACCTCTAAACAACACCATCGCCCAAACTATAAACAGAGCTTCCACGCAGAACGAAGGCAGCCTCAGGAAAGCTGGTCTTCCATATCTGAACACATAAAAAGAAAATCTATCCCCCCAAATGCAAACTAGTTTATATTACTTAACGCCATGATAGGTGATTTTTATTTCCATTCATTCATTATTGCACATTTCTCCCCTCCCCACCCTCTGCCCCCCCTCCAGCACACTACCATCTTGGAAAAGTAAAATTCTTTCATTGTTATACAATCCCTCCCCCGGAGTCCACTCCACTATGCAGCCTTCGCTCTGGACTCCTGTCATGACAAAAATACCTAATCACATATCCCTTTTAAACAGTTTTCTCCCTCATCTATTTATTTCAATGCAGTATACATTATTGAACCCATCTTTCTCAGTCTCCCCCCAAACCCGAGGCCACTCCTGTTTTACAACAGTGGCACCATGCAGTATTTGTCCTTTTGTGACTGAGATACTTCCCTCAGCATAATGTCCTCCAGGGTCACCCATTTTGAATAATATTGCATGAGTTCCTTGTTTTTCAATGCAGCGTAAGTATTCCATTGTGTGAATATACCACAGCTTCTTTATCCATTCATTTGTTGATGGGCACTTAGGTTGTTTCCAACTCTTTGCTATTGTGAACAAAGCCGCGATAAACAGGGGTGTGCATAATAGGTGATTCTTATTTTAAATGAAGGTGAAGCTAAGAATGGGGTGGAAATGGATTAGTCATTGTACCAAAAGGTACTTCTTCTCATGTACTTTCTTCCATGTTTCTCAGCGGTTGTACACCATGACCACAGTGAACACTGGAGCCGCCAGGGGACCTACTGTTATTGCCCCAAATAATGTCCACATCATCCAGTCCGGGCACCCTGTGCCTCCTGGAAGCCACGTGCAGCCTTTTGGGGTGACCGCTTATCCGGCCTCGACAATGGTCCAGTGTGACACAGGAAGAGCACATTTTCCGAGCCACGGGGGAGTGGCAGGTGCACAGAATCAGCCCATTCTGCTCCAGTATCCAGCAGGAACGGTTGTGCAGACTTCACCCGTAGTGGTCCAAGGCTCAACAGGAACCACAAACCTCCAGAGTCTGCCCCAGAACCTTCAGAATCCTCCCAACTTCACGCCCCAGTCCACAGGCCCCTCCAGCCAGTTCCAGGGGAATCCATTATTTACATCATTTTATACATTTGATCCCAAGAAATTCATAAACGAAGAAGTCAGGACCCTGGGGGTAAGTGTGTTTCCCTTTTCTCTCCTGTTTGGGGCACTTCCAAGCCCACCTCCAGAGCACTTGAATGAGGAAGTAAATGAGTTGGAGGACAAAGAACAAGGAAGGTGGAAGTAGCTAGAGGTTGGAGCCAGCCCAATTCCTTCCTTGTCTTTCCCCCCATCTGTGGTCTCTGAGAGGAGGCTGTACAACAGGTAAGACCTCCACTATGTAGCTACCAGGAGCAGGGATTAGCAGCAGCTTCACAGGAAGACAGGTGATGCAGGTTTCAAGACCAGCCACATCTCCTGAGACCTCAGGCACACCTTCCCCACCTCAGTGCCATCATCCTTAAAAAAGGTCTATGGGTGGTTAGATGCCACGAAGTAGGTGGCAATGCCTTAACCGTATGCGTGTTGTAAAGGCCCAAGGGCCTCTTCCATCCTTGTCAAGGGGAGTGCTAACCTTCTCTCCTTTCATACAACACAAATTTGTAGCAAATATGCTGTCTGTAGCAGGTGCAGATCACATCATCACCATGGATCTACATGCTTCTCAGATTCAGGGCTTTTTTGATATTTCAGTTGATAATTTATATGCTGAGCCAGCTGTCCTAAAGTGGATAAAAGAGAATATTTCTGAGTGGAAGAACTGCACTATTGTCTCACCCGATGCTGGTGGAGCCAAGAGAGTGACCTCCATCGCAGACCGGTTGAACGTGGACTTTGCCTTGATTCACAAAGAACGGAAGAAAGCCAATGAAGCGGACCGCATGGTGCTCGTGGGGACGTGAAGGATCGAGTGGCTATCCTCGTGGATGACATGGCTGACACTTGTGGCACAATCTGCCATGCAGCTGACAAACTTCTCTCCGCTGGAGCCACCAGAGTATATGCTATCTTAACCCATGGGATCTTTTCTGGCCCAGCCATTTCTCGCATTAACAACGCATGCTTTGAAGCAGTAGTAGTGACGAATACCATACCTCAAGAGGATAAGATGAAGCATTGCTCCAAAGTACAGGTGATTGACATCTCCATGATCCTTGCAGAAGCCATCAGGAGAACTCACAATCGAGAATCTGTGTCTTATCTGTTCAGCCATGTCCCTTTGTAACAAGATAGTCTCTGAGGTTTTTTAAATAAATAAGAACCCCTCCCCTAAAAAAAAATGAAATCTGTATTAAACACCTATCAGTTTAAATCTTAAAAAAAAAAAAAGGTCTATGGGAAGCTAAGGAGCTCTCATAGCATAGTGGTTAAAGTAACTGACTACTGATTGAAAGGTCAGCAGTTCAACCACTCACTCTCTCAGAGAAAGATGAGGCAATTGACTTCCATGACGATTCACAGCCTTGGAAACCTTATGGAGAAATTCTGCTCTGTCCTCTGTCTCGGGATCTTCTGTTAAAGGACAGCAGTGAGTTGGAATCAACTGAACACCAATGGGCTTTATTGAGACAATTTCTGAAATATACCCAGGGAGATACAGCCTGAGTTAGCAGGGCGACTCCCTACAGACTACACCGTTAGAGCTCTGGTCTTGACTGGCACTCATCAAGAAAAGAAACAGCACCAGGAACAAGGCACTGTTGACATCCCTAACTTTGCAATCTTAAATCATGGACTGAGTTCTAGTAAACAGTATCAGAGGTAGAAATCTAGGCCCTGAGCATCAGTCAAGTTATACACACACACACACACACACAAACACACACACACAGCCTTCAGGAGGTAAAGCCATTTTGTAGCACTGTAAAAAAAAATAAAATTATAATTGTGTTTAAAAAAAACATTTATACCCATTTACTTTAAGTTCATAAAGTTTGTATACACTGTTTTTCACATCGGATTGTGTGTTATAATAATTACCCTTAGCATTAATTAACACTGAACAAATACTTATTCACTTTGGCTCCAATTATTTTATTTTGGGAAGAACTTGAGAGTGTCTCAAAATTATTTTAACTCAGAGCGAATGTGTAGAGAAGCTCATAAAAAATGCGGGGGCAGGGAGGAGAAAAGCTCAAAGGAAAAGTTGTGGTTGTGGTGATTCTGGCTCACAGCGACCCCATGTGTTTCAGAGTAGAACTGCTCCATTGGGTCTAAATGGCTGTGATCTTAATGGCAGCAAAGTTACCACCCCTTTATCTGCAGTTACTGATTAGGTTTGAACTGCTAACCTATAAATTAGTTGTGTAGTAGCACCAAATGTTCTCACACCCAAGAACTTCAACAAACAAAGTAGTAGAAGCTGTTGTTGTTGCTGCTGCTGCTGCTATTGTTGTTTTTTATTGTTGTTTACCAAAGAGTCAGAACTCATAGCTGACCCTCCAACAATTTTTCAGAGGCAGTTAACTGCACAGGAGAAAACTGCCCATCATTCTTCTGCAAAGCAGCTGGTGACCTCTAACCATGTGCCCTCAGGATTGCAACACAGCTTCTTGCCACTAGGCTACCAGAGCTCCAATGTGGTCTATCTTAAGGAACTACAGTTTTATTTAGGGAGAGAGAACTGTGCCTGCATCTAAAAATATAGGCAAAGTGGGCATGTGGATGAACTCAAGCCCATTGTCTTACAAAGGGACAATCCCTCAGGGATCAGGAGAGACAGAAGTGTCCGCCAAGTCCTGCTCGTTGGGCCCCTGTGAAAACTGAGGCTCAGAGGAACCAAATGCCACACCCACGACCTCGAGGATTGGGAGAGGAACTAGAAATCCCTATTAAGAAGGGTGTAAAGAGGAATAGAGGCAGCCAGATGTGACCTCCACTAACTTCTCAAGGGGAAAGGTCCCCATCTACACCATCAATAGTACAAAACAGATGGCCATGTGGTCATACAAGCCCCCCACCTCCATACTCCCAGGCCTTCTGTCAATGCTCCCATCAACCATCCGTCCCTCCCAGCCCTCCTGCTGCTCTGCTCCTGGGTTTGCTAATCTACTGCAATGACCCCACAGAACTCACAGACCATTATCCACCATTATGGGGTTTATTAGGGACATTAGCAGCTTACAGCTCAGGTTGGAGACAGGATACGAAGACGTGGTTCTCACTCCGGACATGATGCTGTCAGGTGGGGCCCGTTCCTGCTTCTCACGCTTGGACGTCAGTGAAAGAGGAAGATGATGGGTTCAGACATGGCAGATTGTGAGGCTGGGACAAGAAGGGCTAGGGTTTTGGTTTTGTTTTGCGTAGGGTCACTACGTGTCAGAGCTCTTTCAACAGCCCTAACAGCAATCTCACATTTCCTTGTCACTTGCCCTGTAGCCTCCAACTTGGCTACACATCAGCATCACTATGAAGCTTTACAAAGACTCAGCTATGGGCCCTACCCCAGAAAGATTCACTAGAAGATGGGATAAATAATGTATGCTGCATTGAAACAGATGAGGGAGGGAGGTGTTAGGTATTATTGTCATGACAGGAGTCCAGAATGAAGGTAGCAAAGTGGAGTGGACTTGAGGGAAGGGATTGAAGAACAATGAATGAATTTTAACAATTAATGAATCTTTTCAAAAAGAAAAGTGAATTGGGGGGAGGGAGTGGTGGGCAGGGAGAAAAGTGCAACAATGACTGACTGGAAATCCAAGGTCTCTGTAAACGTTCACTAAAATAAGTTTAAAATTTTAAAAAAGTTTCATTAGCTGGTCTAGTGTGGGCCCAGGTGAATCTGGGGTATAGTAAGGTCTGTAGAGTGCAGCTCAGGAGCCCACGGGTACCCCCCCTTACTCCCTCCCTTGCTCTCTCACCTCTCTCACTGAGAACTGTTCTCCTTGGCAGGCCATCCAGATCCTCATTGGACTGACGCACTTTTTTTCTGGGATGGCAACGATCCCTTATATTGGCATGTCGGTGACCACAAGCTCAGGGTACACGTTCTGGGGAGGACTGTTTGTGAGTATAAGGCCACATGGCTTTCTTCCTGGGTTACCAAACAAAGTCAAGGCGGAAAGCAGGGGAAGGAGGAGCATGGAATTCCAGTGTCCTAGGGAGAATTGGGGGCCTCGTAGTAAGGAGCTGGGCTGCCAGCCCAAAAGCACACAGTTTGAATCCACCAGCTGCTCAGCAGAAGAAAGATGGGCCATCTCTTCCCTTGCAAATATATTGTCCCTGGAAACCTGCTGGAGGGTCAGCTGTGAGTGGGCTCCAACTCCACGGAACACAGCAGCCACAAGTGTCTTAGTTACCTGAGTGACTGTGACAGAAATGCCACACGTGAGTGATTTTTAAAGAACAGATATGTAGTTTCTCAAAGGAAAGATCAGAAGGCTAGATGATTGCATTCAGGGCACTGGCTCTAGGGGAAGGCTTTGTCTCCACCCGTTAGCCGGGAAGAGGTCAGAGGGATGACGCAGGAGAGGGCAAAGTTTCAATCTGTTGTTCATAGAATCATTTAGAATTAGAATTGACCAATGACATCTAAGAACAGCAACAATTCATGATCTTGAGCATTTCTTCATGTGTGTGTTTGCCGTCTGAATGTCTCCTATGATGAAATGTCTTTTCCTGCCCTCTGCCCATTTCGTGATTGGGTTGTTCATCTTTTTTCTTGTTGGTGTTGGAGTTTTCTATACATTTTAGAGATGAGTTCCTTATCAGATGGGTAGTTTTCAAAATATTTTCCCCATCTGTAGGTTTTCCTTGTATTCTTTTGTGTAAGTCTTTTGATGTACCCAAGGATTTCATTTTTTTGGAAGCCCCAATTGTCTAGTTAATCCTCTACTCTTTGTACATTTTCAGTTATTTATTTTCTCTTTCCTATCCCCTCACTCCTTTAATTTATAGCAGCCTAGTTGGTAGAGCATTGTACTGCCAAACCAAAGGTGAGTATTCAAATCCACCCTCTTCTCAGAGGGAGGAAAGATGGAAAATCTCTAACATAATTTAAAGCCACTGAAAATCTACTACAGCTATGAATCAGCCCCAACTTGGTGAGAAGAGATGAAAACACTAAGGAGGGGGACTCTCTCATTGTGGTGGTGGTGGTGGTGGTGATGTTATGAGACATCAAGTCACCTGTGACTCATAGCGACCCTATATACAACACCTCTGAACCCTGCCCTGTCCTGACCCAGTCTCACTGACTCCAACACACCTACCACTATTGTCCCCGTTACTGTATCAATCCTTCTTATCCAGGGTCTTCCTCTCCTCCACTGTTCCTCCACCCTTCCAAGCATGATGTCCTTCTCCAAAGACCAGTCTCTCTTGGCCATGTGCCCAAAGTATGTGAGACAGAGCAGCTGGTAGCCTTGAACCATGAGCCTTTGGGATTGCAGTGCAGCTTCTTGCCACTAGTATGTGTGACAAGACTTCATCATCATTGATTCCATGAAGTACCCTGGTTGTGCTCTCTCCAAGACAGACCTGTTGGTGCTTTTAGCAGGAGATGGGTAGTCAGTGCTCTTCTCCAATCACCACAACACAAAGGTATCAATTCTTCTGTCATTCTTATTCATTGTCTAACTATCAAATACATTGGAATTTATTTAAAAGACCATGGCTTGGGTCGGGTACACCTTAGTATCCTTGGTCCTTAGCACTTTGGAGAGGTCCTTAGCAGCAATTTTTCCTCAATGTTCTCAGAGAGCTGGACAATGACTAAAGATGACAGAAGAAGAATTGATGCCTTTGAGTTGTGGTGATGGAGAAGAGTCTTGAATATACCAAGGACCACCAAGACAACAATAGTTAGATTTTCCTCAATGCAATACATCTTTTGATTTCTTGACTCCTGCTGCATAAATGTTGATTGTGGATCCACGTAAAATTAATTCACTGACAACTTCAGTCTTTTCTCTGTCTATCATGATGTTGCCCCATTGCTCTAGTGGTAAGGAGTTTGTTTTCTTGATGCTGAGATGTAACCCATATTGAAGGCTGTAGACTTTGGTCTCAGGGAGTGCTTCAAGCCCACCTCACTTTCTGCAAACAAGATTGTGTCATCTGTATAACACAAGTTAATGAGTCTTCCTCTGATCTTGATGCCACATTCTGTGTTTCATAAACTAGGAAAAGGCATTTGACTGTGTGGATCACAACAAACTGAGGCTGACTCTGAGAAGAATGGAAATCCAAGAACACTTGATTGTGCTTATTCAAAACCTATACTTGGACCAGGAGGCAGTTGTCAGAACAGAGCAAGGAAATACTGCATGATTCAAAATTGGAAAGGGTGTATGCCAGATTGTGTCCTATCTCCATACCTTTTCAATCTATATGCAGAACAGATCATTCAGGAGGCTGGGCTGTATGAGGAGGAGTGTGGCATCAGGATTGGAGGAAGACTTATCAACAACCTGCATTACACAGATGACACAACTGTGATTGCTGAAACTGAAGAGGACCTGAAGCACTTGCTACAAAAGTTCAAGGACTGTAGCCTTCAATATGGATTGAAGCACAACATCAAGAAAACAAAGATTCTTACCACTTGGCCAACTGGCAGCATCATGATAGAAAGTGAAGAGATTGAGATTGAGATTGTTAACAGCTTTAGTTTGCTTGGCTCCACAATCAACACTCTTGGTACCAGCAGCCAGGAAATCAAAAGACAAATTACATTGGCAAAGTCTGCTGTCCGGGACCTCTCTAGAGTACTGAAGAACAATGATGTCAGTCTGGAGACCAAGGTGTGCTTGATCCAGTCGATGGTCTTTGCAATTACTTGCTATGGATCAGAAAGCTGGACAATGACTAGGGATGATAGAAGAATTGATGCCTTTAAGTTGTGGGGCTGGAGAAGAGTATTGTATTTACCATGGACTACCAGGAGAACAAATAAATTCATTCTGAAGAGGGTGAAACCAGACTATTGCTTGGAGGCAAGGATTCTGAAGCTATGTGTGACATACTTTGGGCATGTTGCAAGGAGGGACCCATCCTTGGAGAGGAACATCACACTTAGGAGGGTGGAGTGACAGCACAAGAGAGGAAGACTCTCAATGAGATGGATTGACTCAGTGACTGGGATAATGGGGATGGGTGTGCCAGAGACAACAAGGTTGGCACAAGACAGAGCAGAGTTCAGCACTGTTGTGCATCGAGTTACTATGAGTCAAAAGCAACTCAACAGCAATGACAACAGCACTGCACTGTACTTCAGGATAGATGTTGAAATGTTCTTTTTTTCCGGTGTGGCATTACTCCTCTTGAGTTTGTCATTCTCAGCATCTGTGTTGTTGTTATCGTTGTATACCATCAAGTTGGAAACAACCCATAGCTGAACGTTTGGGAGGTTTTCAGAGGCAGTTAATCTCGTGGGAGGAGATTGCCCATCCTTCTCCCACAGCACAGCTGATGGGTTTGAACCATGTACCTTTGAGATTGCAACGCAACTTCTTGCCACTAGGCCACCACTAGAGCTCCCTTTGGCATCCATATTTATAGTATATTTTCCCCTTTATGTATGTCTCTTGGTTTCTCATAGCAGTGTTGTATAGATTTCTTTGTAGAAGTTTGTTTCATCTCTTGTTAGATTTATTCTTAAATATTTCATCTTTTGGTAACTGTTGTAGATGACACTGCTTAGTTTATTCCTTTTCATAGTTTTCTTTGTTCTTGTACAGGAGTCTGACTGATTTGCATGTGTTGCTCGTGAACTCTGCCAATTTGCTGAACTGATCAATTAGATCCAGTCATTTTCTTACTGTGTCTCTGGAATTTTATGTATAAAAAGGATCACATGATCTGTAAATAGAGATAGGATTGTTTTACTTCTTCATTGCCAATTTAAATGCCTTTTCTTCTCTTATTTCTTTGACTAAGATTTCCAGTACAATATTGGATAGGAGTGGTGATGAAGGATGTCTTTGCTTGGTTTCCATTCACAAAGGGAAGTATCTTCAGTCTCTCTCCATTGAGAATAATATTGGGCTTTGGTTTGATATACATACTATTAGTTAGGCTGAGGAGTTTCCATGCTATTCCTATTTTGCTGAGAGTTTTTCATCTAGAAAAGATGTGGAATTTTTTCAATTGCCTTTTCTGCATCAAGTGGCATGATCATGTGGCTCTCTTCCTTTGTTTCATTTCTGTGACGGATTATACTGATTACTTTTCTGACATTGAACCACTTATAAATCCCAGTTGATCATAAAGAATGATATTTTTTTAATATGGTGTTATATTCTACTGGCTAAGACTTTGTTGAGAATGTTTACACCCGTGTTCATGTTGTTGTTGTTGTTGTTGTTGTTGTTGTTGTTGTGCACGATTGAGTCAGAATGGAAGCATAGCTGAGCCTCTGGTGGATTTTCAGAAGCAGTTAATCGCATGGAAGGAGGTTGCCCATCTTTATCCTGTGGAGCAGCTGGTGGACTTGAACCATGCTCCTTCAGGACTGCAGCGCACCTTCTTGCCAGTGGGTGACCAGAGCTCCCTATCTAAGTTCATGAGGGATAATAGTTTGTCAATTTTCTTTTGTCGTTTTCTTTAAGTGGTACCTTTGCCTGACTTTGGTATCAGAGTTATTCTGGTTCCATTGACTAAGTTGAGAAGCATTCTATCTTTTCCTATATTTTGAAATCGTGCGAGTAGAATTTGGGTCTGATCTTGTCTGACTATTCAGCTGAATTGACCAGTGAAGCTGTCTGGACCAGGACTCCTTTGTTGTTTCCTCTTCTCTGATAGGCCTGTTCACATTTTCTACCTCTGACTGTAGTGGTTTAGGTAAGCAATGAGTTCCTCAACGTTCCACCATTCCTTCTAGGTTTTCAAATGTGCTGAAGTATAGTTCTTCACAGTATTTTGTCATCCTTTCTCCATTCTCCCCCTTCCTCCCTCGCCCTTTCTCCCTCTCCCCCTCACCCCCTCCGCTTTCTCCCCCTCTCCCTCCCTCTCTTTCCCTCTTCTTCTCCCTCTAGATACAAACTTGATGCTTTCCCCATGGCCCTTACAATGCAGCATTGCATCATCAGCTGCATCTTAGACTAGCTATCCCTCTGATGACCTTGCTTCAAGCTCACACAGCCCAATTCTATTTTCTCTGCCTGGTGGGCACAAGAATACCTGCTCCTCAGGGACATAGCCAGTCCCATTTGTGAACAGCATGGTCATAGCTGGAAGATTTTAGGGACAGTAGACACTCCTCACATTCTTCATCTTCTGTCAAAATCTCTGATGACTTCCTGTTGTTGTTGTTGTTGTTGTTATGTGCTGCCAAGTCAGGACCAGCACACAGCTGACCTCCAGCGGGTTTCCAGAGGCAGTAAATCGCATGCGAGGAGGTTGCCCATCCTTCTCCTGTGGGCCTCCAGGATATCCTCTATGCTTCGATTTTACTTCCAACTGGTCTCGCACAATGGTGAAGGACATGGATCCCTTTAAAGAATTGCTTCAGGAATGCTAGCAAGCCCCCAGCATATGCTCTGTCCTTCTCATTTGAAATCTCATCCTTTTTTCTCCCATTTCAATTGCATGACGTACCTGTAGGTAGAGAAAGCTAGGTCTATAGCACATACTCATTTTACAGACAAGAAGATTAAGGCTATAAAAAATTGGGAAACACAAACATATGCTCCTAATCAGAAGCGTTGGAAGAAAATCTCAAGCAATTGGAAGCTCTCATAACTAGATTGAGTTCTCACCTCTAGTGATGCTGTGTCTGTTATCTGCTTAACAGCAGTAGATGTTAGTTAGGACACTCAGGCTGGAGCCACGAGGTGAGAAGGCAGCAGAAATCAGCCTTGGGACCCTGTCCACCACACTGCTCTGCCCCTGGTTTTCCAAACTCACCATTAAGGACAGTGCAGCATGAGGTCAGATGAGCAATAGGCCATGACTATGACCACACAATGCATCCAACATAACCAGCCTGAAAGTAAGGAGACATACAGCAAGGGGGGAATCTTTACATTTTTTAAAAAGGGAATAAAACAAGACTGACATTGGTGTTGGGGAGGAATGAGAAAGATGTGATAAATAATGTATACTGCATTGAAACAGATGAGGGAGAAAACTGTTTAAAAGGGATATGTGATTGGGTGGTTTTGTCATGACAGGAGCCTAGATTGAAGGCTGCATAGTGGAGTGGATTTGAGGGGAGGGATTGTATAACAATGAAGGAATTTGTCTTTTTCTTTTCAAAGAGAAGAACGAACTGGGTGAGGAGGGGTGAGCAGGGAGAAAAGTGCAACAACGAATGAATGGAAATCCAAAGTCCCTAAATTTTCATTAAAATTAATAATAATAAAAAATATATAAAGGAAAAAAGGGAATAAAGACTTTAGTCTCAGAACACAGAATGTTAAGTATTACATTTAAATTGTGTGTAAATGTTAAGTATTACATTGAAATGTAAATTTTATGTTAAGTTTTAAATATTACATTTAAATGTTCGCAATAGCTGCAACTTGGTCATGGGACTAGAGGGCGTGTTGAGAGAAAGCAGATTTGTACATTCAGTGGCGTCAGCACATGGAATTGAAGCATATAGAACTTAAAGCTAGAAGAGTACATCTCTGCAGGGATGCCTCCCTTTCTCGACCTGTGACACGGGTGGTCCCCCTCTGCTTGGTCTTGCAGTACGTTGTGTCTGGATCCCTCTCCGTGCAGGCCTCGAAGGACACCTTTCCGTGTGTGGTGAGTTACAGGCCCTCTCGGGAGTTGCCTCAGTGTTAGGGACCTCACAGCAGTAGAGCGGCCTGGACCTGGTTCTCAGATCACTGCTGCTTCACTTCATCCCGTCTCCTCAGTTCTTGGACATCCTGTTAGCCCCAGTTTGCGGCACAGAGTGCTCGAGTCGCTTGCCTGAGATCACGCAATGAGTCGAGCGCAGGGCTGAGACTGAGGGAGTCAGAGCTCTCTGCTCCAGAGCCACAAAATCCCATTTTCTGTCCCTCTGCTTCTCAGGAAGGCGTTTTCCCAGATGGACACAGTTTCCCTTTTAACGTTTAAAGAAAGGCTTTCTCACCTCACTGCACTTGGAATAAAGCAGCTTCCTCATTCCCCCCAGCCAACCCTTTTCTGCCCTGCTGCCACTCTAGTTCGAGTTGCTGCTAACTATTCTTCGCCCTTGTCTCCTCCAGGTGAACAGCAGCATCGGCATGAACATTGTCAGCACCATCGTCTCTCTAACCGGGGCCATGATTCTCCTCTCCGATATGATCATAACTAACGATGTAAGGACGCAGACACCGGGGCCCTCGATCTTCTAAAAGACCAAGAGGGCTGTGAGGTGGTTTCCAGGGCCATAAAGACTTACGGTAGAATTCCATCCTTGTGAGATAATCTCTGCTGTAGACGTTGCTGTTGCATGCTGGTGAGTCAACACCAGCCCGTGGAGTCTACTGTTGGCGAGCACAGCCCCCACCACGCACACTCAGCTTGCCAGCAAGCTGCCTGAGATGTGTCTACTTTGGGTTTGCCCAGAAGCAGACTGTGAGACACGTATAGTTTATTTGAGAGACTAAGGAAATACTGCTGCTGTTGTTGTTATGTGCCATCGAGTCACCTGAACCCACCCTATCTTGAGCCAGTCTTGCTAACTCTGACACCCCGACCCCTATTATCCCAGTAACTTTATCAATACCTCTCATGCAGGGTCTGCCTCTGCTCCACTGTTCTTCCACCCCTCCAAGCATGATGTCCCTCTCCAAGGGACTGGTCCCTCCTGGCCATGTGCCCAAAGTATGTGAGACAGAGCTTCAAAATCCTAGCCTCCAAGGACAAAGTTGGTTTCACCCTCTCCAAAACAGACCTGTTTGTTTTCTTGGTGGTCCGTAATATGTTCAATACTTCTCTCCAGCGTCGCAAGTCAAAGGCATCCATTCTTCTTCGGTCATCCTTAGTCATTGTCCAGATTTCTGAGGCATTGCAAGTAATTGCAAAGACCATGGCCCGGATCAGACATAATGGGGAAAGGAGATGGAAAAGGGAAGACAGCCCATCGTGCGGGCTTCCTCAAACCCTTTGGAGTTTCTAAAGGCATAACGTTAAGTGTTAGACTTCTAGCCAAATTCTCTAGCCACTCCTGGAGAGGAAACGTCTTCCTACAAAGAGTTACAGCCTCAGAAACCCCACACAGGGGTGCCATGAGATGGAACTGACTCAAGCAGCAGTGGGTTTTAGTTTATGAAATCTTTTACTACTGAGGGAAATTGGAGCTCAGTCCTGGTGGGCAACTCCCAGAGACAGTGAAGAGCACACTTCAGAGTTACCAGTTACCTCAGCCACCAACCCAAGCAGACAGGGAGCTGGAGTGTTTACACGCCAATCCCAGGCAGTCAGTGATGGAAGGCTGCTTTCCAGGGGCATTAATTCCAAAGGAGGAAAGGCAAGGATGTCTGGGAGAGACACCATAGCAACTGCTGCAAGGTGCCCCGAGCACAGAGGGTCTAGAACCTTCCAGGTGAGGCAAGTAATACCTGCCTAAAATGAATCTCTCAAATGTGGACTATAAGCCAGGCAGTCACCTTAAGGATTAAACACTCCTCTCTCTTCTCTGCCTCTAGACACTTCTCAAGTTATACTGTGGTGGGATCTTCCCCTTTGCCCTCCTGGAGTTCTGCCTCACCTGTGTGGCCTCATATTTTGGGTGCCAGGCTACCTGCTGGAACCAATTCACGGTGAGTTTGGGGCTCTGCTCAAGAAAGATAGCATGCCTGGGGTTAAAGAAGAGGAGGCCAGAGACTGGGGGAAGTGAGGCCCGAGAGGAACACCTCAGTTAAGCTTTGGGGTGTAATAAATTGACCCAAATCTTCAAAATCTTAAAAGCACAAGCAGCTGGGAATGCTGGGAATCAGTCACTTAGCTTGTCCTCAGCGGGCGGCCTCATGCGCTTTGCTTTTCAGAACATGACGCTGTGGTCAAACATGTTCCATACCAACCCAGTCAATACGGCCAGCGGTCCTTACAGCTCCACCAGTGGCCTTGCCAATGCTCCCCCAAGTCCTGCCAATGTTAACACCGGCCCTGCCGACACAACCAACAGCTCGTTCAGTGCAACCACCGGCTCTGTCACCACCACCACCAGCTCGCTCAGCACTGCCACCAGCTCACTCGGTGTTACCAACCGTCCTGCCAACACTGTCCCAGCCCCACCCGCCCCATCACCAGCTGCACTAAAGCAGTCACAGGTTCAGCCATCCCCAGCGACCCAGGCGAGACTCCACTGACAGTGCCCTCTGCGTCATCACACCGAGGAAGAGATCTTCTGCCCAGGGATAGATGACATGGGATGCCTTTCAGTGCCAGGGAGGAGTCACTGTGGTAGAAGTGTCTCTTCTGCTGGAAATATCCTTGATTACAGTCCCCAGCGCTGTTACTGGACAAAGAGGGTAATATTTTTCTCTCTTCTTTACTCCTAAGTCTAATTATTTTTTCCACTGTTTTTGGTTGGGTTATTTTTTCCCCTTAAGCCTCATTTTTGCTATTGGTGTTTGCTGTTGCAGTTGATAGGTGTTTTCAAGTACACTCCAGCTCATAGTGATAGTGACCCCATGAAATAGAACCAAGCCCTGTCCATCCCTGCCCCGTCCTTGACCTCCACCTTCCCTAAACCCACTGTTACAGACCCGTGCCAATTCCTCTCCATCAGGGTCTTACTCTCCTTCCCTGACCCTCCACTTTTCCAAGCACAATGTCCTTTTCCAGACATTGGCCCTGCCTGATAACATGCATATGTTGTTGTTGTTGTTGTTGTTGTTGTTGTTGTTATGTGCCGTCAAGTCGCCTGCAATTCATAGCGACACTATGTACAACAGCCCTAAACTCTGCCCTATCCTGTGCCAATCTCACCATCTCTGACTGCCCCCACTACCCCAGTCACTGAATCAATCCATCACATCGAGGGCTTTCCCCTCCTGCGCTCTCCCTCCACCCTCCCAAGCATGACGTCCCTCTCCAAGGACTGATCCTGCCTTACAATATGTCCAAAGTATGTCAGAAGAAGCTTCAGAATCCTTGCCTCCAAGTAGCAGCTTGGCTCCACCCTCACCAAGTCAAACCTGTTTGTTCTTCTAGCAGTCCATGGTATATTCATCACTCTTCTCCAGCACCACAGCTCAAAGGCATCAAATCTCTATCATTCCTAGTCATTGTCCAGCTGTGTAGATTTTTTTATTATTGTAGTTTGAATGAAAGTTGACAAAGCAAATTAACTTCTCATTCATAGACATTTTGCGTCATAACACTAATTCTAAAACCCACAGTCAGCGTGTAGATTTTTTAATTAATAAATAATTTCCCTTTGGCTTTGGGTGTCTTTCCTCTCCCTCCCCTCCCTCCTTCCCATCCATTTCTCATTCCCAAACCCAAAGCTAAAACCACCGTGTGGATTAGTCTGTAACCAACCCAGACCCTACCCCTGTGATATGTTCTTCTCACTCCCTCTTCGTGGGATGAGACAGCCTCTCCCCGTGTGTGCTCACCTGAGAAGTTCCACTCAACTTTCAAGCATCACGAGGGGCCACTTCCTCCAGGAAGCTTTTCTATAAAAGCCAGAATTGATCTCAATCTCCTCAGTCCTTCTGTGGCCCTTTGTTGGTACATGTGTGAGTACTCCTGGTCAGAAGCTGGACAAGCTTGGTTCCTGATTGTCAGCTCACCAAGCCCCGTGCTACAGCTTATTGTGACCTTGGCAAACGCAGTGTGCACTCCTTGTTGATAAGAGGTGGTGGGTGAGTCATTGATGAGAAAACGAGTTCATGCAGGATTTTCACTCTCAACAAATAATTGACATCACCCGGTAGCAGGATCACAAACTATTATCCACAGAGCAATTGTTGTTGTTAGGTGGCATTGACTCAAGTACAACTCATAGTGACCCTATGAAAAACAGCTCTGAACTCTGTCCTGTCTTGAACCATCCTCATCATCTCTGATACA